TTATATTTATGAATAAAAATTATCCTAACTTTTATACTCAATTAAAAAACGATTATTGTAAAAGTTACATCGATATATCTAGGTGTAGAAGAAAAACTCTTTCTCCTTACGTTTCCTTGACAACGCTTGTACACAAGTAAATTGCCTTTGAATTCACTCTGAATTTGTGATCAATCTAGATTAAAGATCTCGGCATTTGAATTTTTTGCAAAAAAAGAAAAAGCTATTTTAATGCAATAATAACTTGCTGAAACAAAACTACGGAAAAAGATGTCGACTGTAAGAACGGATACGTGCCGAATGTGTAATCGTGGAGTTCAATCCTACAAAATACCGGTCGGGGATGGCGATAAAAAGGAGACATATACGTTTGTCAAGAGTCCAAGAGCAATTTTGCATATTCAAAAGAAATACAGGAATCCACCCACGTAAGTTTTCATTATCAAAAAAAAATATACATAAGAATTAGTTAGAAAATCATTAAATTGAAAAATCATGGACAAGCGTCAAGATCAATAAATTCTTTTTCTATCATTTTATTAAATAGATTTTTTTCAATTTCGTTTCACCTTCTGCCTTCTCGTGGAAATTTTTTTCAATCTCCTACAATCTTTATCGTTCGCGTATCAACTTATGAAATCTTTATGCCATTACAAACTTCGTACCACACGATTATCTATATTCACCGTTATTATAGCCGACTGTTACGTTTTGTCAATCAATTTTAAACATCGCCTCACGCTTTCGAACGAGTGAGAAACTTTTAACGACACGATTTATACATAATGCAAGAGAAACAACCTCGGTAAACTAACTTTTACGCTCAAAGACATATGGAATTTTTGCAGCACGCTAAATTTTCATCACGACAGGAAAAAACGCAGAGACGTTTCGTGCGTTTTTTGCCGCGAGGATTTTTCTTCAATAAAAAAAGAAAAAGAAAAAAAAAAGCATTGCTATTTCTCTCGGCAAGGGAGAGTCAAGTACTTTCGCAGTGTCGTAAAACAGAGTTGCAATGGAACGACGACGCCGCGAATCGATCCCGCGAAACGGCGGCGGAAAGTGCGGAAGCTTAAATTCTGAACTGATGAACAGAGCATCCGTCTCGAAAACGGGAAAGCTTTAGTGTTTGCCGTTTCGAACCGGACGCGATGATAAAGTGAGGGCGGTTCACCTTGAACAGGTTCAGAGAAGGGGTCGCGAGGTTGAGGACAAATTCTGTTGCAAAAGAGCACGCCGACGTACATAAGCATCGTACGTGGTCATAGTTACCACCGATTTCGTGCCCCTTTAACATGACTTAGGCATGCGCAAAGTTCACGGTGGTCAGCGTTATTGAGTGGCCGCCGAGTAAAAATATATGTATGTAGCACGTCTGCGGCATATGTCGGTCGATTCTAAGGACATTGTCCAGTCTGTGAACTCGCTCGCACGAGCGTCTTAGTGATACCGCGACCACCGTCCAAAGCGAAGTTTCTTCGTTGCCACCATTTTCGATCCAACCCCTGTTTCGAAGAGGGAAGATCAGTCGAAAGATTGAAAAAAATCAGCATCGAAATTTGAAAATGCGCGGTACAATTTGCCGCCTGACCACCTGAGATAATACATATTGAGAGGAAGAAAAAAGAAAAGAGCGATCATGCCGGCTGGGATTTCAGCGTTGGCGCCAACCGCCAACGGAGATCCGTTCGCCCTCGAGGGAAAGAGTTCTTTCGCGATTCTTCGAAAGGATTCTTTGGAGCCGGCTACGAGCCCGCCTCTTCTTCGTCGCGTGGACGACGAGACGACGACGAGGAGATCGGCGGCCGATCGTCTGGAGAAAAGCAATCCGTCGTTGGAGCATCGAAGGCGGATCAGCAGATCGAACGATCATTTGGCCCAGTCGAGGCTGCAGTCGAATCAAGCGAATCCGTTGAGAAGGGAGTCGCGAAGCAGGAGCGAGGACGGTTGCCGATCATCATCGGCCGTGGACCAGAAGATACCGGCCATCAAGCCGAGCATGACGCTGTCCACGGAGGATTTCAACGAGGTCTTGAACGCGAAATTGAGGAAGCTTCAGGAGCAGGAGAGGGAGAAGGAGGAGGAGCGCAAGGGGGCGAGAAAAGGTCAGGGGTTTCGAAAAAAGCCGTTCATCACGACCGTGAAGACAGGCGAGTTTCTAATGCCGCCGCCGGAAGTGGCTGCCCTT